CTGCTCTTGACATCTAGATTTACTGAATTGCCACACACATTAGAAGATGTTTCTGTTGGGTGATACCTACTTCAAGCATTGCTCTAATTAGAGCCAAGGAAGGGCAGGAGAAAGTGAAAGGCAAAGCACCAGGTCTTCTTTCTGCAATATAACAATGTCTTACAAAACAATTACGGCAGCTTACTCCTACTTTCAAGAAGCATACTAGCAAGTCTTGCAATACTAGCAGGATTTTGATTGCTAAAGGGAAGTATTAGTTTTCTTTCACACTGTGCAGAGCATAAAGTTTTCATGGAACAGCAGACAGCCTTTTCTGGAGGCCTTCCTCCAGCCACCAACCCTCAGAAGACCCCAAACAAGCATGAATTTCCAGGTTTATTTAACTGGCTCAGGCTGTTAGAAAAGTCAAACAAAATCTTCACTTTAGGAAGGATCTGGACAGCAAATACCATGCCAAAATGGCTTTCTACAATTTCTGTATTGCTGGATGTACTAGACTGATAGCTCTGGTTCTTTGCTTTCGTTCATTGCTTTGGGCTTATCAGGAAGTTTTAATCTGGGTGTGGAGAAAAACTGCAGGCATATAAGGATGCAAGCATGGAACAGCAGCAAGACATTTTTAATAGGCTTCATGCAATGCTATGTAATAGTGTGACTTAAACCAAGCAAACACAAAAAGTGATTTTTTTTTTGCCTATCTTAATAGAATTGCAGATGCATTTGAATTTGCCAATACTTATTTTTTATTTTTGAATTATAAATATGAAACAGGAATTAAAAGCTGCAAAGAGGACTTAATTGCCCATCAAAGAGACAAATCTGATGGCCCAAGAAGGCTGCTGATTTCATCAGGGTTGTATTTGTCTACTTTTCCTCATTACTTCTTTCTGTGGGCAGTCACTTCTATTTTCAACCATTTGTGCAGCCTGTCTTGCAGTTGAAATGGACAGAAATAGTTTCTGCAGAATCAGTGAAAGAAGCAAAGAGGCAGTTCTCACTGAGCCCTTTGACTTAGTTTTACCACACTCTTCTGCCTATAGTATGAAGCATAAAATAAAAACATCTGAAGTGGAGCAGTCTGAGTAGGATCTTGCAGGATGTAGGTCACACGTTCAGTTATCTGTCAGGCCCCAATACGTAAGCTTCTGAATTAATAAACCCTGGGACTGTAGATCAATTTCAGCACCCAAAGCTAATGGAAAGAAATTTTCAGCTATTTTTATGTATTTTTTGGTACCCTTTTCCTCATCGAAGAAGATTGTAGAAAGAGTTCATAAAAGAACAGACAAAAATTCAAATAGTGGCTCCTTTTAAGCAGTTGAAAACCCATGTGGAACTAACCTTTATGTCCTCCTAAGACAAGCCTCTCTAATCTTTCAAATCCAGTTTAATCTTATTATCAACTCACTTGGCAGAATTAATATACTAAAATGGGCACTTTGCCAAATTGTTTTATACACTCAGTTTCTGTTACGCCAATTCAATTACAAATTATTACAAAGCTTAATCGTATATAATGAACTAATACAAGCAAAAAACCTGAAGAAGATACGGTTGACTACATTACAGTCTAAAGAGGTAATTAGTCTTATAAATCTGAAAAAAAGGATATTAGACACCTATATTTATGCTGTGACAGATTCAAATCTACATGGCACATACATAGAAAAGGAAACAACCAAAGTCATCCAAACCTATTGGAAATGAAGATTGTTTCATTTTCACACTGAAATACCAAAAGTAAATGGTTTTAAATGGAAATCTCTTATTTGTGATTCGGATACTAAAACTTTGCCTGGTTAGTCTGGAGCACCAAAAGGGTTACGACATCCATATTTAGCACCAACCTAAAAGTAACTTGGTTATTTACCACTAAATCACTGTTATTCTCAGTATGGTTTCCAATAGAATTGCTTAGGCCACACTGGGAGGGGTAACAGTTGTGAACTGTTGTGCTAGTAATGCTTAATTACGTGAGTTTAGAACAAAGACATAAGTACAATCGGTACTTATCTGTTGTCCAGGAAAATGTTTACACCAAAAATATTGTTACCATACATAGGGGTGTGAAGAACACTCTGATTAGTTATGTGAGGGCAATAGGATTTCTGTGGACATTTCAAAATCTAGAATGTGACCATTACAATCAGGTATCTGAGAACGATCAGTAGGCTTACTTCTTCAGGCTGGGACATGGCCATTACGAGTTGAGCAACATAAGTTGAGATAAGATTCTCAAAATCCTTATTTGCAAGAGGTGAAGAGGATTTTTTAATACTATGGAGAATTCCAGATCTGTTTACCCAAACACTCATTAAAACTAAAACATACTGCACATGAGCCAAGACTAAGAGACTCATGTTGCAAAAGGATGCAATAAATCACTGCACTGAATGCAGAAGAATATTTTCTTGATAAAACTAGCCTTGAGATTTGATGCCACTTATCACCAAAAAATCAATGCTATTATTTCACCAGGCAGTTAGTGAGGTTTCTGCCCTACTTGCTGTTTTTACAAAAGGTTATTGCAAAGTATGCACATCCATTACTAGACTTTTTGCAGGCTCCCAGGGATGTCACGAGGAAACCCTGTCTCATCTAGAGACAATGGTTGATCAGCAGAGATAAGTTTGACTTCTTGTTTTCTCCTGAGGTATCCTCAGTTCTTTCCTGCTCTCTGGCACTACTTATGAGAGAAACCAAATTGGCTTGTGGTTTCCATTGAATCAGTCTTGTAATCCTTAAAATAAAACCTTTTGTTACATACAGATAAGCAGACTTGTAGGACAACCATCATTGCTGTGTCCTCTGGAATGATGATGGTCTGGGATGGTGACCGAGCATACTGAGGAAACATAGACTAAGTGGATCTACATCCATTTATTTCCACCATGGATCACATACCCTGGCATCCCGGCATGAGTACCTGTGATGTAGCAGTCACTTTGCTGAAAAGCACATATGTCTGGTACTTTCGTTATCTTCAATCCTATCCAAATACATAAAGAATATGAAAATCCAGGCAATTATTGTTAACATTTCCTTTTTGGCATTTCAATTTCAATAACAGACTCAACCAGCGAGGGAAGGACAGCGTGGCAGGTCAAGCCAAGAGCTGTCCTCAGAGCTGAAAAAGTTTCTGAAACAGTGAAAAGGGACACCATGCCTGCAGAGAATCCCTGCTCTGATCTTACCCCAGCCACCAGCTTCCTTTCAGTCAAAGCCCATCCTCTGCCTCTATGCCTTACCCCTGAAACTAGTAATATTTATCTATGCCAAGGACAAACTTGGAAGCATTTATCAGTTAAGGACCACAAGACATCAGGATGTGCCCAGGCTGTATAATGCTGACAATGAGCTGGTTTGAGTACAAAACTTCTATGCCTAAATCTGCTGAGTGCCTACATGAAGTGCTGAGCCATCCTTCAGACCTGTGCCACGTAATTAAGCACTTCTGCATGCATGGCACAGACCCTGTGCTACCTGTGGAGACTGCCAATACCAGGACAATGAGAGATACACATAGATTAGTGGACCCAGAACATGCCCAGACCCTTGGTACTTGACTTTTTCCCTAGGGAAAAATCAACTTCTTTACTTTAATTGATGCAGGAATGTGTGGTCTTATCTGAGAATGGTTACTGAATTGAAGTTATGGTCACTTTCATTTCATGTGAATGTCTAACAGAAGGACTCTAGAAAATAACAGTGGCAAGCAACCATTAGTTTCTCTGATCAGTTCTTGGCTTGCTTTTTGTTCTAATTAGTGCAATGATGTAATTAGCATAACTTCATGAATTTTTCGTGTATGTATTTTGCACACTCACCCCTATTTCTGTCACTGACCTCATTTGGCTTGCTGGAAGTATGTACACATTCCTTTTAGCAGATTTAACCACTATGTGTCATGTACCACTGGGGAGAAAATTCTGCCTCATATTCTCAATATTTAACAAAAAGCATTTGAAATAGCAATAAAACACACATGTTGCAGAACCAGAAAAGAACAGGGCTCAGCTAGGGGAAGTTCTGTCTGCAGTCTGGGTAGAGTGAGATCAAGAAATCTTCACAGACTGTGCGTCAGTCAGTGCCTGGACAAAAAATTGGCTGTTCTGTTCCACTGGCTTATCTTATAAATTGGTATTTTGCTTATTTCAAGAAAACTATAGGTCTTCCAAAGATGTAAGTTTTTTCAGTGTCACAACTTAGAAATATATTAAATGATACAATCTTCAATCTTGAACACCAAATGCAAAACATGTTTTCTTCAGATTTACCTTGATCCTTCAGGTCCAGCTGAGGTCTACAGAACAAGCCAAAGCCCACAGCAGAAGTCAGTGGTGGAAGACCCAAGTGCTAAGATTAAAAGTCCTGTCTCCAATTCTTTTTGAATGGTTTGGACACAGCTTTTTGGGAGGAGCATACACAGCCAGCCACTTGCTGCATAGGGAAAGGGGATCTCCTGCTTAACAGTAATGCTTAAATCCGCCCTGTGGGTGAGGAGATGCTTGAGTGTTTCCAGGAGCCAGCCCAGATGGGGCACAGTAGGCACTGCCCAGCAGCAGGCAGCAGCAGCTTAGCCAGAGATGTGGGGTGTCCCTGCATGGCAGTGCCCCACACCATGGGCTGCAAGGAGTCATTGCTGTGGGCAGCCCTAGGTGCTGAGAGTCACACGGATGGGATTATGTGGACATACCTGCTCTGCACTGAATCACCTGAGGCTGGGATGTCCCAGCCCTGAACATCAATGTGAGGTATGTCAGCTGCTTGGAGCGAAAACATAAAGAACCGGTGAGAATTCACTAATAAATCCATGGGGTGGGGAAGTGGGATCTGGCTGAGCTTCCTCAGGATGTTTATCAGATTCTGTGGCACATAAAAGCAGCCAAATAAATTGCTTCCAGATCTAAGCAAGATATGGAAACAAGTCAGGTGCTTTTTAAGCCATGCTGCATTTATAGGAGAAATTTAGCATCTTTATCTTGGTGCTGCGTTTGCAGTGAGTGATGACGTGCCAGGATCTTTGCTGCTTTGGTAGCAGGTTACTCCTTTGCTTGGCCATCAGCTGCCCACTGCTGCTGGTGAGTTGACTACAATCCTCTTTTCCATATGGACACTTATAAAAGATGTTTTCCAACTAGAAAGATGCAAACATGTAAACATAAAAGTGAGCTACCTGATAGAAAGTATAGCATTCACTGCCACCTTTCCATTTTTGGCTTTATAAAACACAGATAGTTACCCGCATCATAAAACGGAGGAAAATATTACCAGTATTATTGCAGCATAAAATTATACTTCTCTTTTAAGGAGAAGTTTTATTTTGATTTTTCTGTGGACAGATGAGTTCTGTATTAATGCTATGGGTGATTTTTTTTTCATATATCTAAAGCATAGTTACACTGTGAAACTCATTCCAATAGGAAGTTACAGAAACCACAAATAAAAATGACTTTATAATGACAAATTCATGGCTAAAGGATCATCAGTGACTGATAAGTACCCTAATTCAAATGTAAACTCCAGCTAAACATATTCCCAAACTATTAAAAAGGGAGATGTTCTTATGACAGAAATATTCTGTAATTGCTTGGCTTTTAATTAGCTTTTCTTAAGTTGACATCTCTGATACCAGACAATGTATAAAATATTCAACCTTCCTCTCATGTAATAATTTTACTCTCTCCAAGGTGTAGATCTTGTCATACAAGTCATATTTGCTAGCGATGTTCAGTGTGTGCTTCCAAGTGATGCCAAGCAGGATTTGCTGAAGAGATACCTTCACCCATATCATACTTTCAAAGGGATCTTAGTGAGAGGTCTATGGAGACTAGGTATGGTTAGAAGCATTCTGAAGTGTGGTCAATGGGTTTTTTTTCTCATTTGTCCAGGAGGAAGAGTGAATCATGCCAGTTAAGATCACTGCTTTTCAGGAAGTGGTGTTTGAGACCTTATTGTGCTATGAAGAGATACAGAGACCATATCACCTAGCTCTAGAAAAGCATATTTGGGATTTGAGATCTTGCAGGAGTTAGTAGAAGACAATGGAAAACAGGCTTCAGTTTCTCTAAACCTGTGCCATGTTCTTCCATGGAAAATGAGACTGCAATGGCAAAACCCTGGAGAAGGACTCTTCCTGCCTCACCTCTGGGAGGCTGAGAGCTCTTCTGCCACTTATATGCCATTTATAGCATGTGACTTATCAGAGCACTGAATTCCTCAATAAGCTGGAGCAAGTTAAGAGGAGGGCCCCAGGCTGGTTAGGGGCTGGAGCACTTGCACCATAAGGAAAGAATGACCATGCACAAGTGGAGAAAACTCCAGAGATAAGATGTTCTCACCTCAGCCCAGTTTACATCATGCAGTTTTATTGGTTTAGCCAATGGAGGAAGTCCCTCTACTCACTCTCTCCATTGTCATGCCTGTTTGGACTATTGAATAATGATGACAGAAGCTGTTTCTGCTTAGCTGCGTTGCCAGCTATCTGCTGGTTGTCTGACTGATAGTAAGTTGTGAAAGCCATAGAAAGTTTGATTTTTTATTAAAAGAAAATGAGACTTGTAACAGAAAACTACTTTTCAGAAGCAACACTTCCTCCAGAATGATGGTGCAGTGTTTGACACCGCATGAGGCTTCACAGTAAAGGTGAACACTAGCTCACCTGACAGTGTTATCAGTGTGGAGCTATCTGATTTCATAGCACTGCTGAATCTGGGATCAGCGATTGCTCTGCCTTTGATTCTTACAGGTAAAACCAAGCTATCAAACAAGCAGACAAGATGAAAATTACAGTTTTGATTCTTCTTTTTCTTCTGTCCTTGAACAACAGAGTGTCAAAGAGTGATCTGGTTCTGTGGCATTGCTGAGGTTCCCTCCTTTTTCAGGAGACATAGGACATGTTAATAGCAATAGGTATGCAAAAAAAAGAAGGTAAGTGAACAGATGTGCAGAGAAAATCAGTGGGCAGAAACCTCCCCCTTGGGCTACTTGAACATATTTTATATGAACTCTGCATAAAAGCTCTGCATCCCTTGGCTCTCAGATAGTAATTATGATCAACCTGCAACCAAGCAGCTTAAAAGGCTGCTCAGCATCTGCATTTGCTCATAGTTCCCAGATGCAGCCGTGAGTCAGTGGAAACAAACCCAGCCTGTGTGACTTCCTGCAGCCTTCTGCTCACAGTTAAAATCAAGATGGATGAGAGACACTTCTGTGATTCTTTTTTCCCCAAAAAGGGAGCCTCTGGAGACCACACATGCACTGCTTCAATAACACTACAGCATGTCAACAGCAGGACAGAAAACTGTGGTTAATGAATGATCCAAGATTACCACCAGTTAGTGCAGAGCCATTAGAATCAGGGTGCAGAACTATGTGTAGAATTGTCTAAAAAATATTGACAGAAGGCTCCGTTTCCACACAAATATCCCTTTTCCACTCCTTTTCCCCCAAATCACAGACAAAATCTGTGCTACGAATGTCTACATGTTTCCATATTTAATTCCAGCACCAAACACAATGACCATAAAAGGAAGGTCATACCAAGCTTAACAACGCCATTAGATTGCACAGCCACCACATCTAAAGAGTACCGTGGCATAGGTAAAATGCTGGTTTGAATCAGGCTGTGTAGCAGCAGGGCTTGTTTAGTCAGCTTATGCTGTGATGTTTTCTTCTGAGTTTTGGGCTGCTGAAGTTGGGTTGATACTGGTTCCTAGGTTGACACAGTGTCAGTCTAGGAGCTAGGTCGGTAAAAGTCAATGTGAGTTAAGATTGACATATTAGCAAACCTGATTTAGGGCAAGTGAGCTTCTGACCTGTAAATCTCATTGTCTTGTCACACTGGTACAAATGGAAATTTAAATATGTTTTTCTAAATCAGCATCCACAAGAGAAGAATTGGATTCACAGTGTCCAAGTCTCATCACACTATGCTCTTGGACAAGACTTCAGCAGGCAGCAGAACCACTTTCCAGTGGAATTCAAGTTCAGCATCAACCACCATTGCTCCATCCTACCTTTTCCTCTCTTCATAGCTCAGTCCTGGGATGAGGTGTCCAAGGACTGTGGTGCATTGTACATCTGACAGCTCCACCTCCCACCACATCCAGTTAAGGTACACTTGTCATCCTGGTGTGTGTGCTTTCCAGTCATAAACTAAATACACTCAGGCTGAGCTGAACTCAGCTGTTACTGAGGACTGGAAAACAACAGAAGTGGTTCAGCTGCTATAGATGTCCTGGGTGTACTGCGTGACACTAAGGGCATTAGGGAGTAAGGCATCTGTAGCACACAAGAAGAGGAAAAAGCAAAGGACGTTCTAAAGAGCTATGATGAGAGAAGTTCCACTGCATTGTATTTTCCCAATGCAGCACAACTCCAGAGGAAAGTGAGACTGGGGTTCATGTGCCAGCATGGAGCAAAAAAAAAAAAGCCAATTTATTCAGGCATGGGCTGGTCACCCTGTGTTGCCCCAGTATTCTCTCCAGGACAACAACAAAATAACAGCATGTGTCAGTGATGAGTACAGGTTTCAAGACACCACAATCTGTCCCACAGCTACTAGTGACACCAGAGCTATATCACATGGGGACCACAGTGATGCTGGCTTGAAGAGTTCTCCCTCCCTCCCAACACTTATCTGGATGCTTGCTTGCTACCCCAGGCCACAGTGCACCATATTTTTAGTTGCATCATTTGTTGACTACCTTGTTCCTTTGGGTTTCTACCAGGACAATTTTCATCAGTTAGCCAGATAAGCCGACAAACAGCAGTGGAATGTCCACATGCTTATATTGCCAGGGAAGTGGATTTCAGCCAAGACAACTAACTGTTATTGGGGGGCTTTGGGAAGACAGTGTAGGGGTAAAATTAGTAGCACTTGTTACAGATAGTAGCAAATGTGCTGCTGAACATGCCTTGCTTTTGCTCAAGCTTGTCCATGTCAAGTAGCCCAAATAAGACTCAGTATGCAACATCAAATGAGTCAGCATGAGTGTCTCCACTGAAAGGATCTGGTTGCAGGGCCAGTAGGCAAACCTGAGACAGCTTTCATTTTGCTGCTTCTGAAAGCAAGTGGAGTGCTGGATGATAATCTCCAGGCCAGACTGTAAATCTTACAGGATGCTGTATGCATAGAGTGCGTCCCAAGCCTGGTTAGTAGCGTGGCATTGCTACTGGCAGCCAAATGGATGAAGCAGGTTTGTTTGTGCTGCAGTCACGTATTAACCTGACTGCACAGGAACCTTCCTCTAATTCTGCCTGTGCTCCAGATCACAAATGCATCTTTTCTTTCTTGGTGTTTTTGGTGTCAGAGTCAGGAGAAATAGGGCATCTTGGACACTAAATTCTTTGAGGCACTCCAAAGAGTACAGTGTTTATAGTATATCTACTCATTAAATACCCAGCAGCAACCTGTTTTAGTCCAGAGTTTTAGATACTAAACAGCAGCATTCCTAAACAGCTGCCAAAGGGGAAGCTGGTCTCCCAGCCCCTGCAGTGTGTCTGAAGTCAGCTTCTATCTGGTTCACTCTCATGTTGTTTTCACTACTTTTGCAGCCTCAGATGGGCAGTGGTGCAATTTCCACCCTAGGAACAGAGAGACCCCCTCTGCAGTCTAGCCTGGAAAATCTAGTCTGGAAATTCAAATGGATGGGTTGTATAAACTGCTGTCCTAATATTACTGCATTGGATAATTACTGCTAATGCATGTCTTCCTACAGCGCAGTGACATCTACAGTCCATGTTTAAAATGAGGATAATACTTTACTAGTGTCACTGTTAGGCACTTTATGGCTGTTCTGCTTAAAAAGAAATGCTGGCATTGCTTGCAGTATCTAAGCGCTGTATTGCAGGATGCTGCCAACACAGCATACTTGAGCTGTGGACCAGCAGGACATGAAGCAGCTCCAGCCTAAAAGCTCTCTGACTTCTTATTGTCATATCGAGCCTGTCTTGTGATTATGCTTCCCATAACAATTACACAAGACCTCTGTAGGCCTGACTCAAGCAGGCCCATCTTTTCTGTGTAAATGCCTTGATGCTCAGCTCCTGTTAATGTCTGCAATGTGTTTCAGGCATTTGGCCATCATTTCCACCCCCCGCTCTTCAAACATATTTGCCCTGTAGCACTTACAGGTTTTTGACTGTGGCAGCCCAATTAGACACATTTTCCTGGGGTGTTTTATCATTCCAAGGAAAATTTTCCTTCCAGGACTCCTGGGACAGTCAACCCCTCTTTGCATATCTTTTTGTATCAACTTTTCCTCTGCTCTTTCATATGTTTAAACTTAACTTCCTGTCTACTTTATTTAGCATTAACTCATCAGGCTGGGCTTTTCCCCAAGTTGTTCTGAGCCATCTGTCATGCTTTTTGTTATATAAATACACAGTCAGATCAAAATGCCATCTCTGTAAACTTTAGCACATTGAGCTGTTTAAAATATGAATGTGGTTTTGGGTGAAATACCTGGAGCTGGACCAATTCAGACCATAGTCTGAGACGCAGACAGTGGTTATGTTGAAACAGCTGGATGTGAGAGATCTTTGAAGACCTTTGGTATGAATGCAGTTTCCAGTTCTGCTCTTAACTCATATCAAATTGAGGACAGAAAAGTCAACATTTTCCTCTCCACCTTCCATAGCTTGGTTTCTCACAGTTCTCCAGTCTTAACAGCAGGGAAATAGATATAAGGCTCAGGAATTTCGACAGACTGCATTTGCTATTTGAGACCCAGACAGTGTCTCCCAAAGGAGGTGCTGAATGAAAACAAATATGCTCATCTATTTTCTTAACCACCAGTTAGACCCGTGCTGATACATCAGGATGGACATTGATCATCTGTCCCAGCATTTCTGTCTTTGTCAAAAGCTGAAAATGTTCCCTTTTGGGTATTTGATCAGGCCTAATTCCGGTAATTGACCAGGCAGAAGTTAGGTCCTTTTGCCCAAATTGCATGATGACACTGCTCAGCTCCTGCCTGACTTCTTGGGGTGAGTAATTTCCAAGAGTACCTCACATTTTGTCTGGACATCCTAGAATAATACCCTTACACATTTCTGTATCATCTTCCTGAATAGAGTGAACAACCTGATATCTAAATCAAATCTAAGCTCAATCATGAGCCAGAAAGTAGGCAATCTTCTGCCTGTGTTTTTGACGTGCTCAGTCCTGCTGTGGTTCTCAAAATGC